GGGCTCAAAGCGCACATTGCCGTCTCATGTGCAGTTTTCCATCCACCAGTACCCCCAAGTCTTTCTCTGCAGGGCAAATAGCCCAGCCCCACGAAGAGCAGAGGGAAGAGGGAGTGGCGCGGGGCTGCACAACGCAACGCGGCCGGCGGCTTCCTGGAAACCACATCTGCAGCGGATTTGCAGCGATCATGTCAGAACTATGTCTCCAAACTCCTCCCTGCATTGTCTCAGGGGTCCCGGGTGATTAAAACACTCTGGAAGTCAGTTCCAGCTGCGAAAATCCCTTTTCTCTTCTAATGCAAAGTGAGAAGCATGGTGCAAAGAAGGTTTTAAATATAGGGATGGTGGGAAGATGATGTAGGATCAGGGTCTGCCCGGTGGCTTTTAGGGATGATGAGAGCCTGGGAGTTTTCTTAATGCATTAGGAGAAAAACAAAGAAAAGTGGTCAGAGGGAATGGTTGTGCTGGGAAATCCCGCTGGCCTGGGCAGAGCTGCGGTGGCACGAGCCATGTTCCCTCGTGTTCACCTCGGTCACCCCTTCTTGCAGGACACGTGGCAGCTCAGACCCTCCTGTACTGGGGGGATTGGGCGACCGCATCCCTCAGGGCTCTCCGTGGTGTTGTGAAGCTGATTTAAAACCTGAAATAAAAGATTTCCTCCTGGTCCAGCGGCGTTAAACCCCATCTGGATTTTCTCCTCCCCAAACGGTCCTATTTCTAATTATTTGGCATTAGCAAGGCTGAAGGTGTGATCCCAATTAGCTGTCATCATGGCAAACTACACCTCCGAAATGCTTTTGGATTTGCCAAGCTGCCTTCACCCCTATTTCTTTTAATTTCTTGTAAAGATCCCTTTTGGGCCGTTTTCCGCTAGATTTCATCCTTGTACTGGGGATCAGGGTCTGCCGAGGGCAATGAGCTGGAAACCCTCCAGGATGAAGTTAATTTTGGAGGCGATGCTACAGGCGACCCCATCGGCATGGACACGTGTCCATCGGCTGCTTAA